CGCGGGCGTAGGAGCAGAGCCGCGGGCGCGGGTTGTTGGGTTAAGCAACTCCGTACCCAGGCTGGAGAGGGCACGACTGCTTGCTAGAGGGCTCTCCTAGGCGTTTTATTTCCGTCTTTTATGATGCATATATATAGCCTCCTATTTCAAGTTTGTATTATCATCTATCTTATCAACATTTTAGCTTCATCTAGAGAGAGAAACACTATTAGTCTTCATTGGTAGAGAGAGAAAGTGTGGTTTCTTCATTGATGAACGTGGATTTTGAAGAAGGAGTTTATTCAATCCTTTGTAGACCTTCATCTTCAATTAATGAGCAATCTCTTATTCTTTCTCTTTACCTTTGTTTTTTATTTTGCTTATTTGCTTTGATTTTCCTTCTTTGCTTATTGATCGTGTTGATGCTTATAGATTTGATGATTGATATTGTCTTCAATATGAAATCTGAGTAGTCACCTAGCCAAGGGTGTGGAGATGGTGTAGTTGCTAATTTTTCATGATTATAATGTTTGGGTTACGTTAATGGTGATTAAAGTCTTTGCATGCTTGATATTCTTTGATCTTCTTGCAAGTGCACATTGTTAGTTGATTAAAGGTGAATCTTTGCTAAAAAGGAACGGAAGTTGACTTAGGTGAGATTCATTACTATCGATAGTTCTTTGATTAAACCTTCTAATATATGGTTCTAGTGTGGAAACATAGAGGCTATGTTAGGAGGAACCAATTAACCCCGGAAGGCGGTTAGATTGGGCCTTACTTTGATATTCATGCATGTTTAGTTTACCATTGATTTGCTACTGTGTTATTGCATGATCAAGCGGCGTCTACATCTACCCATTTCCCTTGGTGCTTAGTTATATTGATTTTAATCCATTTCGTTCTTAGTTTGATCTCTTAGTTATTCACACTTCTTGTTCCGAGATAGCTTAGACTCTAAGTAATGAATGCGGTGTTTATTCATTTCTCCCTGTGGTTCGACCCCTCTACTTGCCCTATACTCGTATTAGGTTAAGTCGAGTGTTATAAATTGTATTTGACTTAGGTGTAGTGGTTTGACGACGCAATTATTACCTTATCAAATTGGCGCCGTTGCCGGGGAGACGGTTTCCATTGCTATTTCATTGCTTGTTTAAAACTATCTCATCTTTTATTTGTTAGTGTTTGATACTTTTGTTACTTTTCAGTGCTTACGATTTTCTTAGCTTTGTTGTATGAACAGAGGACGAACCCGCTTAAGATCTTTGATTCCCATCGATCCAGAGCTAGAGAGGTCTTTGTCACTACTTCGAAGAGAAGCAAGAGCAAGGAGTAGAAATTCTCACACCCCAACGAGAGAAGTAAGAGAATTAGAAGATACTCCACCCTCTTCACCCTCAAGTGAAGAATTAGATAGCCCTAAGTCATCATCGAGTTCGGAAATCAACCCTTTCTCAACCTATAAGTTTGAGAGTGAAGAAGGTCCTAAAATAGGAGAGAATATGTCATGGAGTCGTCTTGGGGCCCCCGAAGCTTTTAGAGCGCAAAGTGGGATCCTAACTCCTACTACTGAAGCCAACAATTTCGACATCAAGCCTAATTTGATTGCTTTGATTAAGAGGAAACAATTCTTGAGTGGAAAGTTTGAGAGTCCTCATGAGCACTTAAAAGAGTTTGAGAAATATTGTGACACGGTAAAGGGCAATGGAGTGACTCAAGAATATATTCGCCTCAAGATGTTTCCATTTTCACTAATTGAGAGAGGCCTAGAATGGCTAGAGAAGGAGGTGCCCCCTAATTCTCTCACAACATGGGACCAAGTGACTACGGCTTTCTTGAGGAGGTTTTATAACCATAGGAAGACCGCCGAGGCTCGGTCTTTGATTCAAGGTTTTCGCCAAAAGAGTGGTGAGTCTCTAAGTGCGGCATGGGAACGATACAAAGAGATTCAATGTCAATGCCCACACCATGGGATGCCCAAGTATCAATTCATTCAAACTTTCTATGGAGGTCTCACACCTTAAGGAAGAACAAGCCTAGACGCAGCGGCCGGCGGTCCAATCATGAACAAAGCAGAGCACGAAATGGAGTGTATTATAGAGAAGGCCGCAAAGCACTATGATGATTGGTATGAAGGAGAAAGGGATGCTACTTCTAGTAAGGGTGTTTATGCATTGGAGCAAGCCAACGCAATCAACAACCTCTCTACCCAAATCTCCAAAATGACCAAGCAAATGGATGAATTGATGAAAGAAAGGTCCAACCCTCATGGTAATACCTCCCCTTCAACCAAGGGAGGCAATGGTATGTATACTTCCTCCTCCTCTTCTTACAATACAATGCCCCAAGGATTCATGTTTTGTTCTAATTGTGAAATCTATGATCATGATACCTCTCATTGTGTATATGCTTGTGAATTTCAACCCCTTTCCCATGAACATGATGATAATATGGAAAGTTTCAATGCTATAAATTTTGCACCTAGAATAGGAAATGTAGGGAACTTGAGGCCAAACTCCAATCAAATGGGGAATTGGAATCAAGGTGGAAACCGTGGTTGGAAGCAAAGTGGTGGTGGTTATGATAACCAATACCATGGTGGGGGAGGCCCTTCCAATTTCAATGGAAGAGGCTACTTTAACCAAAGGGGGTATGGTAGTCAAAACCAACAACCTAATTCCCGATACCATGACCATCAAAATCAAAATTTTGGTGATCAAGTTAACATAGGAAATAATCAACGAAGCAATGTTCCTAACCAAGGCACCGGAGGCAATAGGGGTCAATATGTTTCTAACTATGCCCAAACTAATAGGCCTCCGGGTTTCCATCAACCCCAACTTCCTCCACCTCAACAACCTCTTCAACTTGAAGCCCCTCCAAATGATCCTGTGATGGCTAAATTAGATGCTCTATTGAAAATGCGTGAGGAGGATCAAAAGAAACATGAAGAGGCCCAAAAACGCACCAATGCTCACATGAAAATTCTTGAGACCCAAATTGCTCAACTTGCATCTAATTCATCCCCCTCTTCTTCTTCTTCTTCTTCTTCTTCTTCTTCTTATCACATTCCAAGTCAAGGAGTCAACCCAAAACCTTTGTATGCCGTGACAACTAGGAGTGGGAAGGTAGTAGGGAGTGACCCTTTAGTTGAGGAAGAACCCCAAAAAGAGGTGGAGTTAGAGAATGAGGGTGAAAAAACCAATGATCCATTGAGTGTTGAAAAGAAAAAAAATGTTGAGGTGCCAAAGGATAAAAGAAGACACCCCCTTGCCCCTAAATTGCCAACCTAGAGAGGAGAAGCTACCCTTTCCACAACGATTTGTGAGAACTAAACTTGATGACCAATTTGGGACGTTTTTGGAAGTCATTAAGAATGTACATATTTCCTTCCCTTTTGTTGATGCTATGAAGAAAATGCCCCACTATTCCAAATTTTTGAAAGATCTTTTGAGTGGGAGAAGGGAGTGTGAGACGGTGAGTTTGACCGCCAATTGTAGTGCAAGTGTGAGTCCCATGCCCTATTTTGTCTACCAAAAGCCTTGTGTGATTTAGGAGCAAGTGTGAGTCCCATGCCCTATTTTGTCTACCAAAAGCTTAGTGTAGGAACCCACTCCCCCACTAACATCACTCTTCAACTAGCGGACCATTTCGTTAAGTTCCCCATGGGCAAAGTTGAGGACATTCCCCTTAGGGTAGGAAAGTTCACATTCCCCGTGGATTTCTATGTGCTAGAGATGGATGAGGATGAGAGGATTACTATAATTTTAGGTAGACCATTTCTAGCTACTTCTAGAGCTATCATCGATGTGAAGGAGGGTAAGATATCCTTGAAAATTGACAATGATTCCATTGAGTTTGATTTTAATAATGTCATGCAACAACCCTCCTCAAGTGGTGAATGCTTTAGGGTAGATGTTCTTGATACCGTTCTTAATGAATTTTTTTGCTCCCACTTGCATGCTACTAATGATCCTCTCGAAAGTGTGTTGTTGAATGAATCAAAGATTGGTACTCACAAAGAAGACATACAATTTTATGAGGATTTGCTTGAGGAAAGCAAGAAGGAGTGCAAGGGTGCGAGCATGGAAGAAGAGGCTCCTTACATTCATGACCTCTTTCAAGTTGAAGAAAGAGAAGAGAGCCCGAATGGTAAGGGAGCACCAAAGGTAGACTTGAAACCTCTATCTTTGGGCTTGAGGTATTCATTTCTTTGTCCCGATGAGTCTTTCCCCGTGATTGTAAATTCTAACCTAACGGAGGAGAAAACCTCCCTCTTGATCAATGTTTTGAGAAAACACAAGAAAGCTTTGGGTTATACCATTGATGATATCAAAGGTATTAGTCCATCTTTATGTATGCACAAAATTGATCTAGAGGGAGATGCCAAACCCGTTAGACAAAGGCAAAGAAAACTTAACCCTTCCATGCAAGACGTTGTGCGGAAGGAAGTGGCTAAGCTTCTTGATGCGTGAATTATTTACCAAATTGCTCATAGTGATTAGGTATCTCCCATGAAAGTTGTGCCTAATAAAGGGGGCATGACGGTAGTGAAAAATGATCATGATCAACTAGTGCCCACTAGACTTGTTACCGGTTGGCGCATGTGTATTGACTATCGCCAACTTAACACAAGTACATGCAAAAATCATTTTCCACTACTGTTCATTGATCAAATGTTGGAAAGGCTTACAAAGCATTCCTTCTATTGTTTCCTTAATGGTTACTCGGGATTTTTCCAAATTTCGATTGACCCCAAGTATCAAGAGAAGACGACTTTCACATGCCCCTACGGTACTTATGCGTATCGTAGGATGCCTTTCGGGCTTTATAATGCCCCCGCAACATTCCAACGTTGCATGATGTCCATTTTTAGTGATATGATTGAGGATGAGATAGAAGTCTTCATGGATGACTTCTCCGTTGGAAGAGCCACCTATGAAGATTGTCTTTCTAATTTATCTCGTTGCTTAGAAAGGTGTGAGAGGGCTAACCTCGTGTTGAATTGGGAAAAGTGACACTTTATGTTGGAAAGTGGTATTGTTCTTGGGCACAAAATTTCCCATGTCGGCATTGAGGTTGATAGAGCCAAGGTTGAGGTCATTGAAAAACTTCCTCCCCCCACCAACGTGAGGGATGTGAGATCCTTTCTTGGCCATGCCGGGTTCTATCGGCGCTTTATAAAAGATTTTTCAATTATTGATAAGCCTCTCACATCCCTATTGCAACAAGATAAGGAGTTTTTGTTTGATGATGCTTGTAAAAAGTCTTTTTGTAGGTTGAAAGAAGCCCTTTGCACCGCTCCTATTGTCTAAGGTCCGGATTGGTCTCTTCCATTTGAGCTCATGTGCGATGCAAGCGACGAGGCCGTTGGATCGGTTCTTGGACAACGAAAGGATGGGAAACTTCATGTCATAAATTATTTGTCTAAAACTTTCAATGATGCCCAACGAAACTACACAACTACTGATAAGGAGTTCCTAGCGGTTATTCATTCATTTGAGAAGTTTAGAACCTACCTCATTGGTTCTAGGACAATTGTGTATACCGACCACTCGGCTCTCAAATATTTGATAGGGAAGAAGGAAGCTAAACCGAGGTTGTTAAGATGGGTTTTAGTCCTCCAAGACTTCGATTATGAGATGAGAGACAAGAAGGGAGCCGAGAATGTAGTGGCGGATCACCTTTCAAGGTTAGGCGATGCAAGGTTTGAAGATGATGGCTTGCCAATAGAGGACGCTTTAAGGGATATTGTGCTATATGTCCTTGAAGTGAAATCGGAGCCATGGTATGCAGATATTGTGAATTATTTGGCTTGTGGTGCCATACCTCCGTATTTCACTTCACAACAACGTCGAAAGCTCAAGCATGAGGCAAAGAGATATATTTGGGATTATCCGATTTTGTTGAAAAGAGGGGTCGATGGTTTGTTGAGGAGATGCGTCCCCAACGACGAGGTTCAAAGTGTTCTCCATATGTGCCACTCTTCTCCTTGTGGTGGGCATATGAGTGCTGAAAAGACCGCCTCAAAGGTCCTTCAATCTATGCTCTTTTGGCCTTCTCTATTCAAGGATGCTTGGATATTTGTCAAGACTTGTGATAGATGTCAACGGATGGGGAATATTTCTAGAAGGGATATAATGCCGCAAAACCCCATCCTTAAGCTTGAAGTTTTTGATGTGTGGGCTATAGATTTCATGGGCCCTTTCATTTTTTCACATGGGAACAAGTATATTTTGGTTTCCGTTTACTACATATCCATGTAGGCGGAGCTTCTCCAACGAATGGCTCTAAGGTGGTGGTCAATCTTTTCAAGAAAGTGATCTTCCTGAGATTTGGTGATCCAAGAGCAATAATTAGTGACGGGGGATCGCATTTCAAGCACCATACCTTCGTTCGACTACTTGATAAGTATGGGGTGTCTCACAAGCGAGGGCTTGCTTACCACCCTCAATCGAGTGGTCAAGCGGAGGTCACCAATAGAGAGCTTAAGGTGATTTTGGAGAAGACGGTTTCTAGGACGAGAAAGGATTGGTCCACCAAACTCATTGATTCTCTATGGGCTTATAGGACTGCCTTCAAGACTCTGATAGGGACCACCCCCTACAAGATCGTCTATGGAAAGAATTGTCATTTTCCCATGGAGATGGAGCATCGTGCTCATTGGGCAATCAAGCAAGTCAACTTGGATCTCCATAGTGCGGGAGAGCGAAGGCTTTTAGAGTTGCACGAGTTAGAGGAGTTGAGGATGAATGCCTACGAGAGTGCAAGTATGTACAAAGCAAGAACCAAAGCTTGGCATGATGCCCAAATCATCAAGAAAGATTTTGTCAAGGGGCAAAAGGTGCTCCTCTTCAACTCGCGATTGAAACTCTTTTCGGGCAAACTCTGATCAAGGTGGAGTGGGCCGTACATTGTCACGGAAGTGTTCCCATATGAAGACTACGAAATCTCCCAAGACGGCCACTCTCCTTTCAAAGTCAACAGTCACCGTTTCAAGCCCTATAATGAAGGATTCCCAAGTGATGAACCGATTTCCGTGACTCTACTTGATGTGCATCGTCAATTTGACCCCCCTTGATCAACTCAAGGAACGTCGAGCTAACGACGTTAACCAAAAGCGCTTCCTAATCGAAATTTGAGAAAATGAGCTGCACCCTCTTTGATTTTCAACGCCCTCTCTAAGGCACCCTCGCCTGCGGAGAGCTACTGATCCGATTTCCTCTTTTTGAAAGTAAGGGCACCTGAGGCCTCTCCAAGCCCGCGGGGTGCCCTCTCTCCTGCACTTTAAAACCTCTTATCACCGTCATCAAACACACTTAGTCCATAGATGATGAATGAAGGCAACCTACAAAACAAAACGAAAACACAGGGAAAGGTAAGAGCAAAAATCAACAAAAAACCAAAAATAAAAGAAAGGAAGGAAAAGAGGGTAAAGGTGAGAATCCGGGTTGCCTCCCGTAAGCGCTTTTTTTTTTTTTTACGTCGTTAGCTTGACGTTTACCACTCCACTGAAGGTGGTTTGAAAAGAATCATTTTATGAATAAGACCAACAAACACTCCATCAAAATATTTCTTTAGCCGATGACCGTTAACCTTGAAAGAAGATGAGAAATCCAAAGGAGAAATCTCCACGGTGCCATTAGCAAAAACATCTTTCACCAAGAAAGGGCCACTCCATTTTGACATGAGCTTTTCCGGGAAATAACTTCATTCTTGAGTGGTAGAGGAGGACTTTATCACCCACACAAAACTCCTTTTTCTCAATAAGCTTATCATGAGCTTCTTTGGAACGAGCTTTGTAGGTGCTAGCACAGTCATAAGCATCAAGTCTAAGCTCCTCTAGCTCATGAAGATCCAACCACCTTTTCTCCCCCGCACTTTCTAAATCAAAGTTTATCTTTTTTATTGCTCATAAAGCACGGTGTTCAAGCTCCACCAGGAGATGGAAAAACTTGCCATAGACAAGGCAATATGGAGTGGTGCCAATAGGTGTCTTGAAAGCCGTCCTATAAGCCCAAAGAGCATCATCTAACTTGTCCGACCAATTCTTTCTATTCCTTGCAACCGTCTTCTCAAGAATGAGCTTTATTTGACGATTGGAGGAATCGACTTAGCCACTCCATTGAGGATGATATGGAAGGCCGAACCGTTGATGCACTCCATGTTTCCTCAACTTCTTTTGGAAAGCATTGTGAACAAAATGAGAACCGTTATCGCTTATCACAGCCTTAGGCACGCCAAACCTTGGGAAGATGATTTTGTTGGAAAACTTCAACACTACTTTGTGGTCATTAGTAGGAGAGGAAATGGCCTTAAGCCATTTAGAAACATAGTCCATAGCCACAAGTATGAATTGATTTCCATATGAAGATGGGAATGGTCCCATGAAGTCAATCCCCCAAACATCGAACACCTCTAACTCAAAAATAGGCTGTTGAGGCATCTCATTCCTCTTGGAGATATTCCCAACCCTTTGATATCGGTCGCATGACTTTAAAAAGCCCCATGAATCTTTGAAGAGATGCGACCACCACAAACCACATTGAAGAACCTTAGTGGTGGTTTTGGAAACGCCCATATGACCCCCACTTGGTTCCGAATGACACATCTTTAGAACACTTGGCACCTCTTCATTCGGGACACAACGCTGAAGCAAGCCATCCACCCCTCGTTTATACAAGATTGGTTCATCCCACAAGTAATGTCTTGCCTCCCTCTTGAGCTTCTTCTTTTGGTTCATGGAGAAAGAAGGTGGAAAATACCCACATGCTAGAAAGTTCACCAAGTCGGCATACCATGGGAGATCCTTAACCTTAATGGCATACAAGACATCTTCAAGCATTCTATCTTCAATTGGTAGACCATCATCATGAATTTGATCACCCACTAGGCGAGAAAGATGGTCCGCCACAACATTTTCCGCACCCTTCTTATACCTAATCTCTATATCAAAAGTTAGTAATTCAAGCACCCAACGAATCAACCTTGTCTTGGACTCTTTATTGTCAAAGAGATACTTGATAGCCGCATGATCCGTGAAGACAATGGTCTTGGAACCCAACAAATAACACCGGAATTTCTCGAAAGAGTGAACAATGGCTAAGAATTCTTTTTCCGTTGTTGTGTAATTCTTTTGGGCCGCATTTAGTGTCTTAGACATATAATAAATCACATAAAGCTTCTTTTCCACACGTTGTCCCAAAACACCTCCAATTGCCCAATCACTAGCATCACACATCAATTCAAAGGGTAAATCCCATCTTGGGGCTTGAACAATGGGGGTAGAGATTATGGCCTTCTTCAATCTATTAAATGCTTCCAAGCATTTATCATCAAAAACAAACTCAACATCTTTTTAAAGAATATCATTAAGGGGCTTGGCAATGAGTGAGAAATCCTTGATGAATCTTCTATAAAAGCCCGAATATCCCAAAAATGATCCCACTCCCTTGACATTCACCGGAGGTTAAAGCTTGTCAATAACCTCAATCTTGGCCTTATCCATCTCTATTCCTTTATGAGAGATCTTATGCCCAAGCACTATTCCCTCCTCCACCATGAAATGGCACTTCTCCTAATTTAAGACAAGATTAACCTTTACACACCGTGTCAAACATTTCTCAAGATTAACTAGGAACTCTTCAAATGAAACCCCACCTACGGAGAAGTCATCCATAAATACCTCCATTTCTTCATCCAACATGTCTCCAAAAATGCTCATCATGCACCTTTGGAAAGTTGCGGGGCCATTACAAAGGCCAAAGGGAATTCTCCTATAAGAAAAGGTCCCATAGGGGCATGTAAATGTTGTCTTCTCTTGATCTTCAGGGTGGATTGGAATTTGGAAAAGTCCCAAATAGCCATCAAGGAAGCAATAGAACTTGTGCCTTGTTAGTCTCTCTAACATTTGATTAATGAATGGAAGGGGAAAATGATCCTTTTTGGTGGATGTATTTAGACGTCTATAGTCTATACACATCCTCCAATCGGTGACCGTCCTAGTTGGAATGAGCTCACCATTCTCATTCTTGACTAAGGTCATACCCCCCTTCTTAGGAACGACATGTCGTGTCATTAAGAATTGCAATGCAATCTAGATTAATCTTATAGGTTGATCATTCCTAATCTAATTAATCACATGCAAAAATATGTCAACCAATTTAATTGCAATAATTCAATCAATCAAAGATCATCAACTAGCACAAATTATCAATAAAGCATGCTTCCCCTTCTCCTTAGCAACTAATCTACTCACTAATCATGGTATAACTCAAGAACAAATCACTAGAATTAGCATTGATAATCGTTCAAAATCAAAATCAAGAGAAAACAATATCAACTACAATATCCAATTCAAATCCAAGCAATTCAAACAATCAAAGATGAAACTAAATCAATCAAGTAAAGAGATGAACTGGAAGAAGAAAATCTTACTAACATTAATGATTGAAAATGGAGAAATCCAAGCACAATTGATCCAATATTGAAATACAAATCCAATACCAAGAACTTCTCTCTAACTTCTCTCTCTCAAACTAAGCTAATGAAAATTATCTAAAAGTTATCTTCAAAAAGGAATTACAAGTGTATTTATAGGCAAAGAAGAAAAACGGGATCCCCGCGCCTTCTCAAGTTAACCCCGCGCCCGCAAAAAAATGGGTACGGAACCCATAAAAAACTCCGCGGGCTTTCTGGGCAACACCCGCGCCCGCGGCAAAAGCGCAGCGAATCACCTACTCCCAAAGGGTGATTAGAGGGTCGCGGTCTCTCTGGTACGGAGCGAGCTCTCCAGACTACCCGCGCTCGCGGGGAGCCCGCGACCTGACCGTGGAGAGTTCCTGGTCGAAATCTGCCAATTTGGTGCATACGAGCCCGCGCCCGCGGCCTTCAGTACTCGCGCCAGCGGCAGACTGGCAGGGCTTGATGCCCTCTCCAAGGCCTCTCCAAGCTCTCTCTGAGCCCTCTCCAAGCCGATTACTTCCTCCTTGCTTAGTCAATATAGCCCATCTTGATCCCCTTGCAAAGACAAATCCTAGGTACCTACAAGAACAAACAACGGAAAGGAATAAAAGTGAAAAAAGAACCAAATAAAAGGAAAACACGAATAAAACACGAAAAACACAAGGAAATAAAGAAAGAAAGGAATTAAAGGAAAAAGGACCAAAAATAAGATAAGAAAGCATAAAAAGGAGATAAAATTATCCTAAAAGACTACCCTATGAGTGCCATAAATGACACTCATCAGTTTGTTATTTTGTTAAAAGCTGTAACCTTGTTTAGTCCTTAATTGAATCTAATCACTTAGCCCCATGGTCTTACACATGAGTCAAAGCATGTCACTTTCACTCACAAATAAAGCACACACTAATATGTATGTACACTTTGACCATGTCTAGAGAGTCTTGTGTGCGCGTAATTTCCGTCATTTTTTTTGGGGGAGGGGGCTAAGTCTGATATTAATCCTTCAATTAAACCACTTGTTTAAACCTATATACTTGATTCCTAAAAATATGCACCCTATTTTTGAATATTTTTCTTTTTCTTTATAAACCCGTAAAGTCAATCTAAGTCAAGTCATTAAAATAAAAAATGGTTTAATTTACAGCGCGTGGTCAAGAAAGGAAGGGTCATTAATTAGAGACAACCTTTTCGTTCAAGTACAACTTTCTGACAAACCAATCGGTCGAAAAAGGAAAGCTAAGAAGATAATGGCAAATCAAGAAGAAGTCAACGAGCTCAAGAAGCAAATGGCTGGTGTTACTGAGTTGTTAAAGACCTTAACCCTCCAAATCATTGACTCTGTGAAGAAACAACAAATGGGGCTCATGCTAAAGAGCTTGAGCAACATATCCAATGATTATAGGTTCCAGGGCATTAGCTCGCAAGGGC